TTGAAAGCACATTTGATGCTGCTCAGAGACCAGTAAGTGACCATGAACGTCTAAAGACATTTGAACAAAGGCCCCCATTTGGAATGAAAACATACTTAGTTATTGTTAGTGGAATTATGTTCCGAGAAACAAAGAAATTTTTTTTTACATGTGGGTTATTATGCAGGTAAACTGATGAAAAGTGCACCCTATTTAGTTAAGCATTTGGCAGCTTTTTCCAGGGCATATTCAGTCATGTGGTGCATTACTGTACAACCAGGTCTGCATTGACCAAAAAAACCTCATGGATTTATAGAGTTTGATAATTACTCTTGACAATTGTTAAGCATAGCTTTAGTTCTTGTATGTTACAAATCCTTTTTCATATAGACTTGAAAAATCATTTTAGTGTTTTGAAGGTTCATCCTGTTTAAAGAAAGTGTTGAAGCCTCTGTGACCTGCTTTTCAAACTTTGTCTGAATTTTTTCAGATTCTACGCCATCCAACAAAGCCTGGTGTAACACCTCTGGAAGTTCTTCCAGTGTTTCCAGATTTCCAGGTAAATAAATAATTGTATAATTGTTCTTCAGTGACTTTTCGCACTTAATGTGTCTTTTACTAACTTGTCATTCGTTAATTTACAAGAGGTCAGTAGATTAAGCATTTGATTTTAAGGGTTGCAACAGAATTAAACAAAACCATTATGTCCCACACTTTTTGGTCATTTGGCCACAAATGGTTAACATTTGATATCTCCTTGATAGTGATTACAACTATAAATATGCAATCACAGAAGTGTAGAGTGACTTCACCTGGTTTGCAAAGTGTTTAAGGGCCAGTCATTTTAACAGAGTTTAGCTGTTGTTTTGCAAAACAGCATTCTAATCCATCTTCAGTTTAACCCAACCTTTTATCTGAACATTTATTTTTATGAACTGTGTCAAGAGGGCCGAAAGCTGACAATGGAAGGAAATTTATTTAATCAAATCAACCCTCTTATGGAAAATCACAGAGGTCTACTGCTTGCATGAAATGGCAGTTTTGGTTAGATCTTATGTAAATAACCAAGCCTGTGATTAACTTTAAAAAACTTATTAGACTAACATGGTCCCTGTCTAATAGGAAGGGAACTTTTGAACCCAGTCTACTTTACTTGACTCAACCAAAGGCTCAAAATTAATATTTTTCTCCACAAACTGCATCATACTTGTTATTATTAATAGTTATTATTAATCAACTTAAAAGTGTTTTCAATTTTTATTTCTAGATGTGGGCTCAGCCCTGTGCTCATGTTATATTTGATACTGACCCTACCCCAAGAGGCAGAGGAGGTCCAGCAGAGGATGAAGAAATGTCGCAGGCAATGATCAGGTAAAGGTCATTTAGCTCAATCAGGGATTCCTCTATCATGACAAGTTTGCAGTCAGTGCTGTACTACAGAAACCAGCACATTGCTATACCTGATACTAAATGCCTTCTTTTCTAAGCAGTGTTTACTAAATCACATTTTGAGTTCAACTGACTTTTTTTTGTCTTCCTGTAGAGGTATGGTGGATGCCAGTGGAGATCAATTTGTTGCATATTTCCTTCCCTCAAAAGAGACAATCAGGAAACGAAAAAGAGACCAAGAAGGTGAAACAGAATACATGGAGGAGGAAGAGTGAGTACTTTTACATTAAGTATCCATTTACTCTGTATAATATAACTTTAACCCTTTTAACCCTTAAACTCCCAGATCAAATTTCTAATTCTCCTCATTGTCAACCATACAATTCTTGTAATGTTAGTTCAGAGAATTTAGTATTGGATCAACTGATTATCCCCAAATTGATACTTTTCTGTATTCTCATGGCTTATCTGGTTGATATTGTACTGATATTGTAAGGAGAAATTCTGTCTTGGTCATTCATGGGAGTTACAGGGTTAACTCCCAAGATCTGATTGTTAATTCTCCCCTTCAGCTGCTGCACACATCCTTAGTTACAAGAAACTGGGTCAGATTAAGAAACAGTTTCTACCTGATACATTTTTAGGTGCATTAAACATACAGGTGTTGAGAACTTTTTAACCCCTTGAGTTTCCATTTCCAAATCAGATTAAAACCATGGAGATCCCTTTTTTCTGTACATCAGATCCTGCATGGGAATACTTATTTTATTTTGTTTTTCACAGATATGAGTACAAAATGGCTCGTGAATACAATTGGAATGTAAAGAACAAGGCCACCAAGGGTTATGAGGTAAAGAGGAAAGGGTTTGAGTCACTTTTGAGATGTTTAATTGACATAATTGTTCTCCTGTTTTATGTTCTTCTTTCTGTAGCAGTTTCAGTGAGAATAACTAAATTTGCTCTTATCATTTCTAGGAAAACTACTTCTTTGTGTTCCGAGAAGGAGAAGGAGTTTTCTATGATGAACTGGTAACAAGGTAAGGTCTACGTTCTGATTTACCACCCTAACATCAGTATGCATACTCTTCTGTTCTGTACTGTTCCCTATACATTCCCTTAGGTGCTGAAGAGGAGAATTTGTTTCATAATCCAGAGCTTCTCAAGTTGGTGACCATTTCCTTTATTCTCATGACCTTAATGTGTGATTTGGGGGTGATGTTGTAAGGAGAAATTGGATGTTAATCACCCTTTGGGGTCAAGGGCTCTTTGATATTGAATATGAATTTTTTACTTTTCAGTACACAGTGATTCATTGATTAAATTTCATTGCAGAGTTCACCTGAGCAAGAGACGTGTTCGTGGTGGTGCTGGTGGGGTGCAATCAGCAGTCTCTCAGCTGGTGGTGAAACACAGGGAATTGAATGAAAATGAAAAGAAGGCACAGGTGAGCGAGGAGCCATCAAAAAGAGCTCAGCCACAACCACCATCTAGTCTGCCATCATATCCCTGCTACTTTTCTTTAATTTTGCCATAATTGGTGATAAAAATAACATTCAATCATTGATCAGAAGTCCTTTAATTTGAAGAAATTAGTACAGCAGCCATTTTCCAGTTTTTAGTGAAACTGAATGCATAATTTCCAGTAACAGGTGAACCTGTGTGATTTGATTCTGAATTCAGAATTAGTTTAAGGGTTTGTCCTAATTAAGCAGCATGGCTGGGACATCTTGACAGAATAGTTCACAGTCCAGCTTGTAATCTGACAAAACAACAGAGCATCCACAGTAACCTTACTGGTTGCTATTTCTTATTTGCCATCTACTTTCAGACTTATTGTCAGCCCTGGGTGGGGAGTAGTTCTATAATTGTTATGTTGAAAATATATTTGAAGTCACTGATTGTGGGAAAAGGTCAATGGTGGGCTTATGTGTTTCATAATTTTATGTTGTGAGGAGAGAGAAAATCTGTTCATCTGACTCACAATGTAAGAATTGAATAATCAATTGTATATGTATATTGATCAGGAAAATTTGACTGCTATCCTACTTCATCAGGCACCAAGGTCAAAAGTTTACATGTCGCTATTTTTAGCACCTTGGTTTGTGTTATTACTTATGATAATGGTTTTGGTTCTTCAGGAAATGCGCATGAATCAGCTGGACACAGCTGTGGCAGAAGAGGAAGAGGAAGAAGAAGAAGAGGGTGATGAGGACGATGAAGGTGAAGAAGCTGCTGAAATTGAAGAAGAGGATGGAAACCTAGAAAATGATAATGATGACGAGGATGAAGATTTAAAAGAGGATGATAATGAAGCAGAACAAGAGAGCAATGATGAAAAAGATGAGAAAGACAGCAGTGAAGAAGATGGGTCAAGTCCAGAAGAGTCCAACAGTGAAGAGGATGAAGATGATGTTGAGTGATGAAGTTCAACACTTCTTTTGAAACATGTCTCGTAAAAACTGCAGAAATTTTGATGAACTGGTAACCATACACTTGTAGTTTTCCTAACTTATTTCTTAGTGCCAGTATCTGGTCAGAAAAGGGTAGCAGTGCAATGCATTCTGAACAACTAGCATTCAATGTGAGTGTTGCTGCTTGTGATAACTGACTCTTTCCATCCAGGCAATGGCATTTTCTCTATTTAGCTGTAGTTGCGAATGATGCCAAACAGACACATAGCAAATAGATTTCATGTTGCCGCACAGGGAGTGTATCCCTGATATTCTTACCAAAATTTGACGTCTTCTGTAATTTATTTCTGTACAGATCCAAGGCAACATGAAATCTATCTGTTTATATGATAAAAAAAGCAAAATGTTGTTAATGAAGATGTCATCTATGCATCAGTCCTCCAATAGATCACAAGTAAACACCAATCAGAATGTGTGTGCAATTCAGCCTTGACCCTTTAACTCCCAGAAGTGATTAACATGTAACTTCTCCCTGTAATATCCGTATATTATCAAGCAAACAGGTAATGAGAATACTCAAACTTATTAGGTTAAAGTTGTTATCTTGATCTAACACCAAATTCTCCCAGCTACTTTACAAAGAAAATGTTTAGCAGCTAGAGGGGAGAATTAGCAATCAGATCATAGGAGTTAAACAGTTAAAGATTGTTTGCTTATTGGTTTACTATGGATATTTCTCACTAGAGTCTTCATAAACTTTTCTAAGTTGGTTTATTTTTAATATCAAACAGATATTTACATTACAGTGATTACTTTTAATTTCATTTTGGCTCCTAGAGCTTCTTTCAAGCATAACAAGTCACAAGCACAGCCCAAATAAATTGGAGAGTTATTGTAATTTGCAGTTTCATGGTTTACTCAGTATTGTACATTCATAACAAAAACTCAACCAAACATACAAAAAAACCTGTCCTTCTGTATGTATCCTTGACAGTTATAAATAAACAGGACCTTATCATGTATTCTTTGTTCTCTCTAACTTTGTTTGCAGGGCAATATTAGTCTCTCTGTTGTTTACAAACTCAATAACTAAGTTGTTTGAATACCATCTGTTCACTGGCATGGCTTAAAATCATTGTGCTTAAAAAAACTGGATCAATATCAGTATCTGGGCAACTACTCACCTACCCCTCCCCTAACTAAACAACAACCAATTCTAGACCAGCATATTTCTTTTAAGTGGTATCAATGAAACAGCTAAGTATTGGATGAACTTTCTATGACTGTTACACTAAGCAGTATTCATTCTCACTCTGTTTGTAAACATCACTGTTCTGTAGAAGTTTGTCAAGTGATTCCTCAACCTGTTTCATTGTTACATGTTGAAACTTGTTTGAGGAATGAAGGACATCTATAATGGCCCATTTAGAGATTGAGAAACCTGATGGTCCTAAAAGACAAAGGAGCAAACTTCATTTCAATTGGTATCATGGTCATAACTGTTGCTGTGACTTCTTAAGTGGTAAGTACTCCAGCCAAAACTGCTGACTGACCAACTGACTGAATCACTGAGGGACTAACTGAATGACTCACTGACTGACTGATTCACTGACACTCAGGTCATAAACTGGCTAGCTAAATGATGAAATTACTGGGTCAGAAGCAGTTGTTGATTGAATGATGTAGTGACCCACTTACCATCAGGCCAGCTAGGCAGGTATTATGAATAGGAAGGGATTGGGTAAATTCTCTATCTTGAAGTTTACCTGCAATTTTGCTCATTGCCTTTAAAATTGCTGATCCAAGATTGTGTTCATGACTTATAACCTACAAAAAATAATTATGAACACGAGGTACAATAAGAAAGAAGACCAAAAACTACAAAGTCATTGAAAACTCTGGCAGCCAGAATATTCTTTGATTTTCAAGCTCCCTTATACACAACAGAGGTGCATATCAAGTATGGACAGGTAACAGCCAGAATATTCTCTGATTTTCAAGCTCCCTTGTATACAATGGAGGGGCATATCAAGTATGGACAGATAACAGCCAGAATATTCTCTGATTTTCAAGCTCCCTTGTGTACAATGGAGGTGCATATCAAGTATGAACAGGTAACAGAAAGAGTTTTATACCTGGTAAAGATCTCTTCTTGAGTCTTTAAGATACACCAAGCCATCTTTCTCAAGATCTTTGATTATATGTCTAATAACTTTCTTTGCTTCATGAGAATCATTCCATATTTTGGCTTCCTCCTGAAAGAGAATGAAAAGAGAGAAAAAACATTTCAGCTAAGAAAAGATTGTGAGACATTCACTATTGTGTCAGAAAGTGGAGTTCAGAAATCCATTATTAACTGGAATTTGGGGTCCCACAGTTTAACGTAACAGCCAGCTTTTGTACCTTAAGCAAAGTAAAAGTGGGACTCTCAAAATGTTTTGAAGTAGGTGTCAGACTCTGCAAAAGTAGGGGATTGGGAAAAGTTCACTAAGGGCTAAAAGGTGATTATTTTGACCAGTGTAACTGTTGACATGTGATCAAGTAGGACTTGAGTTTTATACTTAGTTTTATTTAGCAGGACTCTGGCAATCACCAGCTTGTTTTAAAACCCCTGTTTAGGTCAAATTATTATTTTTTTGAATTTAAAACCTTGGCCATTAATTTGAACACTGTGTACAAATCAAATACAGTTAGCTCTCTTGAAAAGCCATCCTCAGAAATTGGAAAAAGTGGCCATCAGTATAACTGTCAGCTCTCAAGAATTATTCCTACAAGAGGACACTAAAGAAAAAATAGGGTGGATGTCCACTTATGGAGAGTCATATGTCAGTCTCTCTTTAACTCCATGAACCCTAACATCAGTATACAAATTCTCCATACTGTTTTCTATTCATTTCCCTAGGTGATGCCAAGGAGTATTTTTACAACAATCAAGAGCTTCTTAGTGGGTGATCATTTCCTTTATTCTCATGACCTTAATGTTTGAGCTAGGCATTGTATTGTAAGGAGAAATTAGATGTTAGTCACTCTAAGGGGTTAAAGGATTAATATCAGAAGAACAGACAGCTTTCTTTCCTGCAGACAAATGGAGATTTGACAAAACCAATCTTTGTTGTTCTGTTGTTCTTAAAAGGTCAGATTTTTGTTGATTGAGGGTGTCCTTTAGCAGAGAGTTGACTGTACTCAATAAACCAAGGAAAGTTTCTTAATGGAGTCATGCCATTATGAGCCAATGAAGAAGTTCAAAGTGTACAAGCCACTATGAGCCAATGAGTGCAAATAAAAGAGTTATTGTGGTAAAAATGCTAAGTACACCATGTTCCCATTTGATTGGTTGATAGAATGGTACAAGTTTTCTCAACCGATTACAAGGAAAAAAAGTAAAGTGAAACCAATGCTATCTAAAATAGTTAAGGATTGTGTAATTGTTGCCTAACATCAGTATGCATATTCTCCATGCTGTTCTCTATACATTTCCCAAGGTGCTGACAAGGAGAATTTGTTTATTGGTCCAGAGCTACTTTAGTTGGTGATCATTTCCTTTAGTCTCGATACTCATGATCTTAAGTCAGTAGAGATACTGTAGGGAGAAATTAGATTCTAGTCACCCTTAGGAGTCAAAGGGTTAAACTTACCTCACTGGTACATTTTTGCTTTGCTGCCTCCCTTGCCAGTTGTTGTATATCAGGCTCAAAGCATAAGGTCTGAAACTGGAATGTTACAATCTTATTTTCCTTGATGTGTGTCAAAATAGCTTTTTTCAGTTCTGTTTCCTTTGATACAGAGCTATTTTCTGTTTGGAAATCTTTGAGTGAAGGAGTGAATGGTTCTTTGTAAACTGTGTTGCCAAGATTGACTGCTTCTAGCCAGAAGAGGACTTCAGCATTAGGGTCTTTCTCTGGATCTGATCACAGTTAAGTGTTGTCATTTATATATTAACTGTTCCAAAATGGTTTCCACAAGTGCAAACTTGGTTTTGTCACAAAAGTGAAGATTAGAGATTGAAATATGCAAATCATGGGGTGCCAAACTGTCAGATTTTCCTGTCACCATTTATCTGGTAAGTAAATTGTTCTTTGATTTCCCTCCCACAATAGCGTCTGATCTATTTCAGGACTAGTGGTAAACATTACCAGGTTGTCGCTATTAACTGCATGAAGCTTTTTGACAAGACAGTTATTCAAGAACCTTATTTAATGTAATGACCCTTGATAAGATTTATTTGGAAGAGTATTTTCAGGTTCTTCAATAGTTTGAAAGAGCTTACAAACCCAGGAAAAAAATTAAGTGTAACTTGAACATAATACCCATCCACTCGATATGGTGGGAGAGGAAAAGTACACATTTAACTCATGAATCAGGGGATGTCAATAACTTCTTGATAATGCTATATAGCACTTTGCTAGTCATAAAAAAATCTTTGGTAACCTTGTAATGGGCTCTCATACAGGGTGGAGTTGTAATAGTCCTGATCACTTTATGCCACTTGGAAACCAAGATAAGCTCTGTCTGCGTGGGCCAATAGGCTGGAGTACAGACTTTACTGTTACCTTATTTGACCATCAGCAGCAACTAATAATTAGTCCTTGAAACTCCTTGAATATATGTTGTCTTACTGCACCTGATTTAATTGTCTCTCATACCACATGTATGATGCAAAACAACTGTATAGTTTAATAGATAAAATGTTTGGATACAGATCAGATCAATAGTGAGCTGCCTCTGCTCTCTGAAAACAGAAATCTTTCCTTGCACTGTCACCAGCTGACCAAGATCGTAGGATTCTTGCCCTGTGCTCAGATCTTGGGAATGCCACTTACAACAGGAAATTGTGCCACTCCCATCATCAACTACATAGTTTGTCATGAAAAATGAATAAAAGGTTATTGTCAACAACCTCATTTTGCTATGATGAATGATGGGGAAGGAATCATGATTCCAGCAGGGACCAAGAGAAAGGAGCAAGTCTTTGTTCCAAAACAGAGAGGTGGAATAATTAATGACATGTTCCTTTGCCATTTCATCAAAAATGTGTTTGAACCTAGTGTTTAACAATTAAAAAAACATATAGTTATGAGCTATCCAGGGCAAATCCTGTGCTCTGATTTACTACCCATGTGGACAAGATATTATTTTCCTCTCAACAAGTTCCTACTGATATCTAACAAAGAAAGTTATTATGCTTCAAAGTGTTTCCATTTCTTCTTTAACCACATTTTTGTAATGAAGGGGTTGCCAAAAAATGTCTTATAGACAATCAAAACATTGAGGATATTACATGGCCACACAGGGATATGAATTTTATCTTCTTGTGCTGAAAGTATCTCTCATGAGTGAGCAAAACTTACTCATGAGAGATACTTTCAGCATGAGAAGATAAAATTCATATATTCAAGCAACCATGTAATGTTCTGTTTATTTTATCGATACTGATGAAATTTCTACATAAAAGACAACTTTTTTTAAATTCATTTTCAAAACAGCAAAATAGTGCAATTAAAGTGATCACCTATTGCAAAATGCCTTTCACAAAAATGTTACGAAACTCAGATATAAAGTTATAAAGGAGAAATAAAGATGATAATACTTATATTTTCTGTTCCAAAAAGTCAAAATTTTTATGAAGCTCTCTTGTAATTGGCTAATCATGTTAGTAACCATGGCGACACCAAAACCCTCACATGTGAAAGATAAAAATAGTATCTTCACTGCGCACAATGAAGATATGATTTTTTAGTAAAAGGAAAAATCCTGGTATTTCATCAGTATCTATATAATAAAAAGAAATTATAATAATATTACCATTTTTCTATGTCTAGTTTACAATTCTTTTTTTGAATAGTTGTGCTACATCAAATATTACATCTCTTTTGACCCCAGGAGTGGACAAAAGAGGGTATGCTGATTTTGTGTCATAAAACCAAACCCAAAGTAATCAGAACTGTAAGTCAAAGGAAAAGAAAATACCACAAAAGACTAAAAAGAACATAATAAAAGGTAAAAACAAGTAAGCTGCTTAGAACTTGGGAAAAAATGAGTGACCAGATTGTGATTGGCTTACTTTTGAATCTAATTGGTTAAGAGGATGGTGTGAATTTTTTGACCAATCACAGGGCAAAATGAAGGGAACAAAATTAATTTGGAATACCTTTTGATACTCACTTGAAATTTTTTATCAATGCATTCGAAAAAAATGTTCAGTGTAATTTTTAGTTTGATAACCATCAAAATTGACCTACCTCCATAGGTTGTTAGCTTTTCCCTTGAATCTATGCTAACTATGTATCCACTGACTTCTACCCTTACCACTGGATAATTGTTTGGATACCTGTACATACCTGAATAAAACAATATTGCTTTTATTGATACAGGAATGAAACACATACTTGAGGTTTCCTTTTTTTTAAACAAAAAAAAGGTAAAATACAAAGTTCAAACAAGAACTTCTGTTAAGCATAATTTGTTTCAGTTAAGTAAATTTAATGCTCAGCATTACAGTGAATAGAATTAAAATGGCACATTTGTTCTTCCAGCCTAGCTCTGCCAGGAGTTCAAGCTGTGGAACAACCTTGACTCAGATGCTGAACATAACACATGAGCGACATCAGGAAAACTTACTCATCCTAAAACTGTATTAGTAACATCTGAGGAATGGTTCCATGGGGGTGGGGGTGGGGGTGGATACTCCCATGACATATTTTGATCTCTTCTTTTTCTCTACTATTCAAATTTTTTACTTTAGCTGAAGGGACAAATCATGGTTCTTCTGAAAATCATACATAATTCACAACCATAATAAGCTTGCACCAATTTTCTGACCAACATTTCTTTGAAAATTAAAAACCATACCCTTTGAACCAGCACAAACTCACATAGCTGACAGAGGAGTGGTTCACTTCACATGATCCCTCATAAGGGGAGGTCCTCCCACTCAAAGGTTTGGTACTATGCTGCACCAGTCATGTAAGCTAAAATTCAGCAAGACCAATTTGAGAGCAAGAGGAAGAGTCACTGAAAGTTGGTCAACGTGAAAACTAACAAGTCAATTTTATTATGAGTCTTTCATGTCAAATAATTGGAAACACACATTAGTTCATTTCTTGGAAAAATTATACCGTAGTGTGAGCGCTATATAGTGTATCTTGGTGAGCGCTATCGCTTCAATCTTCTCAATATACCCGAACCAGTCCCCTCGGAACGCGTTACTTCAAGATGGCGGGGTTATACGAGATTGTTGATTAATGAATTGGAAACGTAAAAGGGAGACTTCAAACCCATTGTCGAGAAAGCCCAATTCAACCAGTGTTTAGGACTTATTTTCGTTATCTTATGGAGTGGGAATTCGAAGTAAATGATTTGATTTGGTTTAGCGAATCAAGTGAAAATCCCTTCCGGTTTTTGGTAAAGTTTGCCGAAGGATTAGACGATCCATACAGGAGGAGAAAGCATGCCATTTCATACGTTGACGCTAATAAAGCTCTCGAGAAGTATATTACCTACTTTGGATTTCGCAGCCGAGAGGAAATTAAGGCTATTAGTGAAGAACAAAGCCGAAGTGTTTTAGTAAAAACGGAAAATCTGCACGGGGCTGCAAGTAGAGCACTGAAAGTTACAGACTTTGTTTCTGGTCTTGATCTCGGAGAACTACAAGAAAGACTTGTAGAGACATTTCTTGTTTGTTTGGATCAAGACTGGAATTACGTCGTAGGCCAGTTTCAATACATAGCAACATTCGAAGCTTTACTAAAAGTATTTTTGCGGGATAGCCCTCGCATGTCTTGGTTGAAATGGCAGTTTGACTTGACTGGCAGCTCGGTTGAAATAGCACAAGTCCCGGAAGTAAGCTATGAGGATAAAATCAGGGTGGTACATGTCAATCCTGAGTATGATATCATTATGAGTGTATCGCATACTGCTTTGGGACTTGAAGATCAAGACCAGTGCATTACCGAAACGAAATACCCAGGATATTATTTTGTGGAGGTTCCTTCATTCTCAGATGACAGTGAGGAAGATTTGTTAAAGCTAACGACATTTAGAAATTCCAAGTGCTACCTGTCTGCTGCAAAGTTCAGAAGCGAGATTTATCAAATAATTTATGACCTCAAGATGTTTTCAAATGTGGCTGACAATAAAACACCAGGAAATGAAGATTTTGAAATGAAAGTAGCACCTCATGGGCCAGCTGTTCAAATTGACGAGACATTTGAGGATGGAGAGTGGCTGTCATCATCATTTGACTTGGTTCCTGCAATTAAGTTTACCAGCTGGCCAAAATGCTGCCAGGAATGGTTGGAAAGAAAAAGAGCTTGGCCTCCGCAGGATCTGGTGCAAGAAATTGTCCAGGGAGGCTTTTATCTTGTGCCAAAGGCATCTCAAGGAGGCAATGAAGAACTTGAGTGGCGCATCTCTTTCTCCACAGCTGAGGGAAAACTGATGAGAGCCAAGGGTCTTGGAAACAGAAACTACTGTTACCGCATGTTCAAAATGGCCATCAAAGAAAATATTACCTCAACTTGTAAGCTTGTTACAACTTATCACTTGAAGACTCTCCTTCTCTGGGCGAGTGAAAGGTACCCACCAGACAGATGGTCAGATGAGAATGTTGCATTGTGCTTTCTGGGTTTGGTGGATGATTTGTTACATTCTTTGCTGACTTGCTCATGTCCTCACTATTTCATCCCAGAACTGAACCTGTTTGCAAATTGCAGTACGGACCACTTGCATTCAATTGCAAGCAAAGTGTCTGCCATTCGTAAATTTCCCTTAAGATACCTCCAGAGACCAGGAGAAGATGCAAGAGCAGGTTATGATAACTTCATATCAGCAATGAAAGAATGGGAAGAAATGGACTTTCAATAAATATAAACCTTGCACCCATTTTTCCATATATGTTAAGGATATTGAACAAAAGAACAGCCTTTTTTTTTTACCAGATTCAATTGTCAATTACTTTGTGTGCCTAATTACGATCATAGTTACAATGTTTATCTTTTCCCTATTGGTTTGTAATCGGATCTTTTAGCGTCACCACGCGCATATAAAAGCTAAGTTAGCGTCCCTATAAGCCAGAGTTTTGCAAGATTTCGCCTTGATCAGCAGTACCTTCGTTCTTTCGTTCCAAACCTTTGGCACAAGCGGGACCGATATGTAAGTGATTTTGTTAGTTTTATTTCAATATGTTTAAGTTTAGTTTTTCACCTTGGGCGATAGCGCACATATGTACTGTGTTGTACAACAGTACAACTAATTATCTTGAAATCAAAGGAATATTTTGAAATAACTAGACGCTCACACAGTAACGCCCACATTTTAGTCTTTGGGCTGTTAATCAGCCGCAAATGGTCATCGTGTTGCCGATCTTTGAATCTTGAGTAGTTTTAATTTAGCCTTTTATGATTTGTTTATGTTAATTCACGTTAATAAATTGTTGTTATTTTAATCGCGTTATCGACATAGGCACGTAAAATGTTTCTTTCATGCCTTTCGCACCAATTCAAGTAGATTCATGCATTCGTTATAATATTATTGTAATTTCAGTTTACGATCGTGATCGTGATCTAAATAAACACTGTTGATAGTCATCTTGGTTTTCGTGGTTTCACTACGACTGGTAAAATAGTCCCCACATCAGCGACACTTAGAAAACACGCATAGCGACACCCCTCGAAGTTTCCTCTTTCATCGCAAGCATCACAATATATTTTTAAAAAATTTACAAAATATCCAAATTCCATATTCTACCTTTAACCCTTCAACTCCCAGAAGTGATTAATATAAAACTTCTCCCTACAATCTCCATACATTCTTCAGCAAACAGGTGATCAGAATATTCAAACTTATCAGGTAGAAGCTGCTATCTTGATCTAGCACCAAGTTCTCATAACTAATTTTCAAGGAAATGTGTAGCAGCTACAGGGGAGAATTAACAATCAGATCTTGGGAGTTACAGTGTTAAAAATTGCAGAAAATTGACGAAAGGACATTCAACCAGAGACGTCATTTTACTTTAGTATTAGGAGTAAGGGGTGTCCAATTGGGTTTGTGGCTCTACATATAATTAAACAGAATCTAGCAACCAATACCACTAGGTGGGTGCATGTTTTGTTCATCACAGGTATGATTACAGACTGACTTGGAAAACACAATGAAATTTCCAAGAAAAACAAACTAATGGAAAACTTGTGGAAATTATGTTAAACTTTAAACAAAACTGTCGATTAAGTTATCGAATATCTTTTGCAGAGAGATTTTCTAATTTACTTAAATCCTCCTATGGGAAATGGTCAATTGTTGTCTGGGTTACTGTAATAAATTCATTGATTGATAAATTAACTTGAAAGTACTCAGAATAATGCCTAAGGTTAAGAGTGATTGGTTGATTGTCTTTCTGGTGAATCAGGATTTCACTTTTTCTTTATTCATGCCCAAGTGAACAAATTTTTTATTTAATTGATACCTGTAAATGAAGAGCTGATTTAAACCTGATTCATGAGCAATTTTGTTTGGCATGATGAATTTCTGACTACTTTATTCACATGGATTGATAAAAGTTATAAAACAGACCACAAATGGTTCTTGAAAAAATAAGATAAGACGTTACATCATCTTATGTTGTTTATTAAGACTGGTCAAGAGTAGGAAAAGTAAACAATAAATTCGTGAATTTGTTTTTTTTTATTGTAATGTGAAATGTAATCATCTCAAATTTTGTGTGAAAGTTGAAGAATTTTGGATATTATAGTGATGCCTGAGAGGCCAAATATTTTTACATGAATGTGTTTTACACAGGGGTATGGGAGACCCTCTGAGTAGTACTGCCAGATGGGATGCTAGCTCCCTCGCAGGGTACCATCCAACATTTTGTCTGGTTTTGCTGAATGTTTACCAATTCCCAGTCACATTCCCAAGTAGAGAGATACACTCGGAGAGTGAAGTGTCCTCTCAAAGAACACAATACAATGTCTCCATCAGGGCTTGAGCTCAAACCCCATTCCCTGGATAATTTGGTTTTATCAACTGAGTTGATGATGATGTAAATTGGGCACAGTAAAGGGTTTCTAAGGCTTAACTTCTTTGGCCAATTCACATTATCAACCCAATTGATAAAACCACAGTATTTTGTTATACCTCCCTCTGATGCAGTACCGCAGTTTCTTTAGAAAGTTAATACCTATATTCTCTTTCCCTGGGCCAGGTTGTTGAGAGCTGGGTTAAGATAACCTAGGGTTAGTGTGAAATTTGATTTCAGATCTGAAAGCTTGAAAAGAAATTCAGTTGAAGGCCATTTGTGTACAATTTTTTGATGGAATGCTCTAAAATGAAAAGAATTAGGAACCTTATCCCCAAACAGCATTTGAACAGAGAAATATAGAAACTTGGATTAAAATTAAACCCTGGATTAGCCCTAACTGGTTTTCAAACAACTGGGACCGGAGTCTGGCATGCAAAAGGTTGAACCAATATGTCTCTATCCCTCTTGGCAGAAGTTGGGGGGTTGATGAGGAAGATTATTAATGATATACCTGAAAGGGGTAAATCTCATATAATTTATTAGCTACATAGGTATGTGCTGCTCTAAACAGTATGATGTTTGGGTTGTTTTGGTCTGGAAATTGATATGGATTTGAATTCCATGGTCTTCAATATGCTGAAGTTTTTGAAGGAACCTCATGAGTATTTTAACATATTCGTCTTTTGATATTCATATAAATAATAAAAAAAGAAAAATAACACAAAGATATCTTATTGAGCCCAGTTATTAATAGAGTTTTACCAATTCTTGCTTTTGGCACTAATGCAAAGCACAACCTTTTCACCCCCAGGAGTGACCAAGACAGATTTTCTCCTTACAGTATCAATACAAAATCAAGCTGACAAGTGATGAGAATAAAGAAAAATATCAATTAGAGGATCCTCAGTTGATATTATACCAAATTCTCTAAACTAACATCATATGAAATGTATGGTAGACAGTAAGAAGAATTAATATACTAGTGAGATATTGAGAATGAAAGGGTTCACAGCACCACATAAAGCATCATGGAATTTCAAACCAAATAAAACTGTTGGAATCTCAGAATTTTAGTGACTGAAATTCATTTTCTGGATCAGGTAAAGAGAAAATGCAATCCATATTCATCATTGAATGTCCCTGTTCAGTGAGCTTACCTTTATAACCAGTGTATTCCTTCAAACTCTGCACCTCCTTTACAAACAATTTTATGTGAGTCCAAAATAAAGGATTCAGACCCCAAAAACGAGCAGGCAGGGAACTGCTGTCGTTCTCTGGTTTATCACTCATGTAAGTAATCGTTTCGTTCCACGATATGTATTCTTAACTTTTAACGGGGAAACATGAATAAGGTTATGTTTATTATAACAGTTACACATTTCCCGCGCAAGCGAGGCTGGGAGTCTGGGAATTAATTTTCGTGTAACGCCTGGTCAATTTCAACAATTTCCCCTTTAGTGCGTTCTTTAGCCACTTGATTGTAGTAAGGGTCAAAAGTCGCACTTATATTGTTTGTTATACAATAGTTTTCAAATTTTATTTAAATGATATGGACAGCCCAAATACCGAAGGCATCACTCAAGCAAGACCGGTTTATCTCTCAAGTGCGTTCAACATGGAAGATGTCCCAAAGTTAGGGAGGCGACCTGGCGATGCAATATCAAGAGAAGAGCAGGAGAAGAACATGGAGGCCGCATTCGGTAAAATTCTTGACAGTATAGGAGAGGATCAATCTCGCCAGGGTCTATTAAAAACGCCCTCTCGGGCAGCGAAGGCAATTTTGTATTTTACGAAGGGATACGAGGAGACAATTTCTGGTGAGTTTTAAAAATCTAGTTGAGATTTCCTTAATTACTTGGTTTGGTAAGACTAGCAAGACCCCGATGACGGGTTAAACATACTGCGATTTCACGTTAGTAAATTAATCTTTAAAGAGTCTTTTCGTCGCTTATTAAATACGCGAGTCTTATGTTAATAAATTTTGGAAAACGTAAAATACTCCAACGTAATGCCTTGCATACTGCACTAATTACACGCTTATTATTAAGAAGACATTTGAAGTGTAAAAACCATTAGAAAGTATTTAAAAAGTAATTAGCTGATTTTCTTTTCGGTATTTATAAAATTTACACTTTGTTTTGCTAATTATGGGAAGCACAGGACACGTATTTATATCAAGCTGCATGAAAAGTTCTATGGTTTTTGTTATGGCATCCTTGGTGTCCAATAGGCATGGGAATACCTATTTATTCACACTAGGAAAATGCCTTAAATTCAAAGAAACTTTTGACCGTTTTTACTTTTTTTGTCATTTTGTTTGCATCTTCACCTACTATTGTTGATGATACAAAGAACTGCAAATCAGAAGTCAATCACATTGGGTTGCTTCATCAGTAAAGCCCGTATAGCTCTGGTGGAAAATTATGTGAAAGGAACATTATTTCTGCAGTACCTGAAGTTTAAAAAAAAGGCCCTCTCTGTAAATACGAAAAAAAAGATTTGAATTAAATGATTAATTTTATAAAGAAAATAAAAATATCCTTAAATATTTTTAGTCATAAACTTAGTAAATCATGATGCAAAAGGTGCTTTTTAAATTATTAATTTTTTTGCAACCTCATGCCAATCTGGCCCTAATTTTCCTTTTGATTTGTGTTCAATGCATTTTTCTCTCTGCAGATGTTCTTAACGATGCGGTATTTGATGAAAATCATGATGAACTTGTCATAGTGAAGGATATCGATATGTTCTCCTTGTGTGAACATCATTTAGTGCCATTCATGGGAAAGGTAACAATCAAATCTACTACAATTTTGACCCTCAAAAACACGAGTAATAGTAGATATTTAATAATGTAATTATTATAGAAATTCACGCCATGCAACTTTTATACACATATTCAACTGCGCCTAACAATGGCTTAATATGGAATTAACACTTAAAGAAAGGCTACAGAGCCACCAAAAGTTGACTCTCAGCTATCGGCAGCTGTATTTTTCTAAATGAAGATGAAGATTTGTCTTTACTTAATGATTTTTTATCTTATTGCAAGTCATAGTAAAGCTTTTATGGACTCAAATCACACATCAATCATAAGTTGGCCATTTAAATAGGGCAGAAGTGCATGGAAACATAAAACATTTTTGTGGTTTCAGCAAACCTCTTGAATAACCAGCCAACAAATTGCATGCATTTTTGAAAATTTGATCTAACAAGCACATGGAGTGGTCTCAAAAATACATAAAATTTATATGGCCAATTTATGATTGATGTGTGATTTGAGTCCATAAAAGCTTTATTATGATTTGCAAGTCAAGATAAAACATCATTAAGTAAGACAAATCTTCATCTTCATCTAGATCACGCAATTATCGCGCACGCAATTTGTTGGCCGGCTATCCAAGAGGTTCGCTGAAACCACAACAATTTTTTATATTTCCATACACTTCTACCCTATTTTAGCCAGCCTGATTAAAAATATTATTTGGATATTTCTGGATTATGCATAGTAGACCTTTAGGAAGGGCAGTCCCAAAAATAAACAAAATTTAAATGGCCAACTTATGATTGATGTGTGATTTGAGTCCATAAAAGCTTTATTATGAGTTGCAATTTAAGATAAAACATCATTAAGTAAGACAAATCTTCATCTTCATCTAGAAAAATAGAGCTGCTGATAGCTGAGAGTCAACTTTTGGTGGCTCTGTTTTTCTAGATGAAGATGAAGATTTGTCTTTACTTAATGATGTTTTATCTTATTGTTTGATCAAATTTTCGAAAATGCACGCAGTTTGTTGGCTGGCTATTCAAGCGGTTCACTGAAAGTATAAAAATTTTTTATATTTCCATACACTTCTACCCTATTTTAGCCAGTCTGAATAAAATATTATTTGGATTCTGGATTATGTGTAGTAGACCTTTAGGAATGAACACATGGGGCAGTCTCAAAAATAAATAAAATTTATATGGCCAACCTATGTGATTAATATGTAATTTGAATCCATAAAAGCTTTATTATGACTTACAATAAGATAAAACATCATTAAGTAAAGACAAATCTTCATCTTTATCTAGAAAAACGGAACCACCAAAAGTTGACTCAACTTTTGGCAGCTCTGTTTTTCTAGATGAGGCTGAAGATTTGTCTTTACTTAATTATGTGCATGGAAACATAAAACATTTTTGTGGTTTCAGCAAACCTCTTGAATAACCAGCCAACAAATTGCATACATTTTTGAAAATTTGATCTAACAAGCACATGGAGTGGTCTCAAAAATACATTAATTTTGTATGGCCAACTTATGATTGATGTGTGATTTGAGTCCATAAAAGCTTTATTATGATTTGCAAGTCATAATTAAGCTTTTATGGACTCAAATCATTCATCAATCATAAGTTGGCCATATAAATTTTGCTTATTTTTTAGAATGCCTCGTGTGTTCATTCCTAAAGGTCTACTATAATCAGTAGCACGCTTGTCACGTACAAATTGAAAAATCACGGAGTTGCTTGAATCTTTTGAGAATTACTCGGCGCACAATGATCAGATCTGCTTGAGACTTTCCACAATTGTTACAAATGTGTTAAAGATGGTTTTGGACTAAACAGAGGTAGAATAAAGGATCTCTGAAAATATTGAATTGGAGCCGAATTGTAAAGTTAGCGACAGAAACATGGCGTCACGCGTAACATGCGTCAGCTTCACTATTCACTGTTTTCCTGTTTTTGCCCACTGAAGCCTCGTTTATAACCGTAAGACTTAACAGATAATGAAAATAGTTCCTTTTTAAGCAAAGTGGCAGCCAAAATCCTGAAAATTTGAGCTAAATCTTTCTTAAAATCAACGAAAGTGTTCACCACTTGATGCGTCACGCTTTAAAGCCTAGGAGAGACAGATAATTTTAAATTCATTTTGCGAGTCATAATTCCTGAGTTACAGAACAATTTAACCTCAAAATGCAATGCTCATAAGTTGATTTTCAATTTTTTTTCGTTTTTTGGTGTTTTTGTTGAAACGTTGTCGAGATATGAATTTTTTTCTGCGTCCGAAACAGTTGGCGAGCGCTGTGATCTGCCGCGCGATAGTACCAGTCAATGAATTTCCTAATCGTATTGTTTACGACAAGTGCACTGGAGCATGTCAACTTTGACATTAACAAAATGCTCAAATGACAAGCTAAATTTTGGTACCAAACTCGATCGAATCCGTTAGAAGCCGACGAAAATATTAGCATTTAAGTTCATCCGAAACATTAGGTCTACAATTTTGATCCTCAGGAACATATGCGATCGAATTTATAGCAAAAACAAGCGCGACGCGTTTGTCATTTTGACGGCTTCCATTACTTCCAAATCATCCCAAAGTCTACTTAAATAATAAGGACTGTTGTAGATTTCCTTATTAAGAAGTAATATATTACATCAGGTGAGGAAATGAGCGGGAAACTTCCTAAGTACATACCGCATGTTTCAAGCATGCGGTCAAGTGCTGTTTGATCACAAGCACAAGGCCGTGAAATTAAATGCAAAGATTAAGGATTCTAGAGTTTCTAGGATTCAGATGTGGCGAGAAAAAAACCACATTCCTTGAAACACGGTATTAATGCATTTTTTACAACCAAAAAAAAAAAAAATTGCATTGCATCATGGGTAATAGAAAAATTTTCTTGAAATGCGTCCGAATCGACCGAAATGACATAATTTCAAGATAGGAACCAATTTCCTTCACTTTCTGACTTAATTCTATAAGAATTGATTCTTAAATCAATTTTTCAATTTTACCCCAACGTTACGCTTTTGTACATCAGAACTGTGCTACTGATCTATGCATAATCCAGAATCCAAATAATCCAAACCATCACAAATGTCATTGACAAAGTTGTGAAATTTCAATTTACCAAAATGACTGTTAAAAACTTGCATTGCGTAATTTTACTCTTTCACGAATGAGCAATCTTCAACCATTTGTGATAGTTTCTTAACCAAACTTGACTTGGTGTCTCTTGAGTTAGACGGGTTTTTAAAATGCTTACACATTTCCTTGAGCATCTTAACCTTAAAAAATGAAAGTTTGTTTTCAAATGCCAATTTGCAAAGGTTGTAGACATCATGCATCACTCACTGCTTGACACCTATTTCAGATTGTATGGCTACACTGGCTTTCTTGAGCATCACTGGAGGTTTCCTTGCCATCTGATTTCTTTCCTTCTTCAGAGAGTTGCAAAAAAAAACCCTGGATTTGAAGCTTTGAAAGTTGTTCCATTCTATAAAACATTCATGTTAGCTGCTTGTGCAGGATCTTCCTTCCTCTCAGTTTTTTTTTACTAAATCAATAATCCATCTGGTTTATTTCTTGTTTTTTTTTTTTTTTTAATATCTTCTCTCCAACATTTTTATGCTAATATATAGTTTATAACCACAAAAGAGGGGACCTTTCAATAAATAAGTTCTAGTAGTGAAATTTTATTAGATTAAAGGTTTCATTTTCAGAACAGTTTCTAAATGAACAACATGAAATATTCTGAATAAACCTGAATCTTGTCATAGCTGCTTGATATAAATATATGTATTGTGCTTCCCTTAATTAGCAAAACAAAGTGTGAATTTTATCAGTACCAAAAAAAATCAGCTAATTACTTTTTAAATACTTTCTAATGGTTTTTACACTTCAGATGTCTTCTTAATATTAAGTGTGTAATTAATGCAGTATGCAAGGCATTTCGTTTGAATTTTAATGTTTTATTAACATAAGACTCACGTACTCGATAAGCAACGAAAAGACCCCTTAAAGATAGACTCCTGGGCAAAGTTTGAAAGAAATCAATTTTTCGACCTGAAATGCACCAGACCACAGTTAGAGAGACTGCTTCTAAAAACTGCTATACAATCAATGCATAACAATACATATGAAAATATAAAATCAGGACTAACTAATTTTAAGCAAAAAAAACTTATTAATGCCTTTTCAAAAAAAAGTGATCTAAGTCTTCCTTTAAATATCATAAAAAAATTGAAATATATCAAATTGAATTCAAAAGCAAATGAATATTTTCATGGGTATCATGTTCTTCTCAGTAATATGGGTTTTATGGAAGGAGGATGAATATTTCCTGTGAAAAATTATTGTCTTTTCATTGACAGGTTCATATTGGCTATATACCCAACAAAAGAGTAGTGGGGCTTAGTAAACTTGCTAGGTAAGGTATAAAGGTAGAATTTGAAATCCAGCATTAACTGACCACAATGTGAAGGAATGATTCCCTATCATTAGAATGCAATCCATATTATCCATACTGTTCCCTGTACTCTTCCTAAGGAGCTGACAAGGAGAATTTGTTTGACAATCAAGGGTTTGTTTAGTTAGTGACAATTTTCTTTATTCTTGTGACCTAAATGTGTGATTCAGGGGAGTTATTGTAGGGAGAAATTAGATGCTAATCACTCTTAACAGTCAGAGGGTACATCATGTATGGAGAGGTTAATATTATATAGTTATCAAACTGATAAGTGTTTGTTCATCACAGGATTGTGGAAATTTTCAGTCGTCGTTTGCAAGGTAAGTGTGGAATACTGCCAATTTAATATGATATGAAATTGACAGTATATGTTAATGTCAATTATCAGTGACAATATGTGGATTGGATATCTTTTTATCCCATTGGAAGAGGTGGTGACAGATTCTTAGAAACAATACTTTTATGAACAATTCAGATTCAAGTAATTAACAAAAATTCAGGTAGCCTTCAATTCTCTCTCTGACCAGTTTGAGTCAAGGCTTTTAAATTGTAAGAACTCCACTGGAGCTGATGAGTGGCAAAAAAAAAAACCATCCCAATATTTTGTTACTCCAGTTGAATAGTTAGACTTCAATAGTTATGAGATGAGTATTAATGAACTTAACCAATTTTAATTCTGATATTTTGCACTAAGATTAATTTTTTTTTTAAAAAATTTTTGTTAATGATTCCCTTTTTCTTTTAGTTCAAGAACGTTTAACAAAACAGATTGCCATGGCTTTAACTGAAGCTGTCAATCCAGCTGGTGTGGGGGTGGTCATTGAAGCCACGTAAGTATGATGCAGTGATGAGCTGAAAGGATTAATAATGTTAATAGGACCGAGTGGAGTGCAAAAAAAAATGATTAACAAATCAAATGATCAAGAAGAGGCTGGGAGTCCCATTTGTCAATCATGAGTATGATTACAGACAGAATTGGACAACACAAAGTCCTGTTACCAACTGATCATAATGGTTACAAGAAAAAAAAAATTGGGGGATGAACATCTCTGCTAGAGAGTGTTTAAAGTGAAAAATTCCTCTATTTTGGAAATTCCCCAGTTTTTTTCTTTTTTTAGGATAAGCTTCAACTGTCCAATTACAGGTGTCCAATTACAGCCAACTGTCTGATTACACTTTCCGATTACAATTGAATGATTAATGAAGAATAAAGCAGCTAATGCACCGATCACATTTGAAATGTCAAGGATGCACAGGAACCTTTTAGTTTAAATATGCAAAGCTTTGTATCCTGATCCAAATTCACAGTACAGATGTTTTTCAAGGTTAGGTCAGTGACTCCAAGCAACAAGTCTCAGAGACACATCTAAGGGGGAGGTTACCATGTAAATTCCTTTGGCATAACACAGAGAATTTTGCCATTATCTTTGTCCTTGCAACCGAATTATGTACCCAGAAAAAGTTACATACTGGTAATTCAAAATAGTTTCAGTTGGTATTTTTTCTGGGTCAGACTTGTCGCAGCAGCTTCTCCCCTGGTGTTTAGCAACCTAGAGCATCTGGAAATTCCTTATTAGGCCCAGTACTCCCTATGTTTCAATTTTAGTGATTCTTTTTACTATCTGTTGCAATTTTTTTTTTTAACCCTTTCACTCCCAAGATCTAATCAGTAATTCTCCTTACTATCTGCCATACAATTCTCATGATGTTAGTTCAGAGAATATGGTATTGGATCAACTAATAATCCCATGGTTGATATTCTTCTCTATTCTCATCACCTGCCTGCTTGATATTGTATCAATATTGTAAGGAGAAATTCTGTCTTGGTCACTTGTGGGAGTGAAAGGGTTAATTCTGAGAATAAGAATTCAATCAAATGATATTTCCTGATTGATATGTTTCTTTATTCTCATTACCTGTTTGTGTGTAAGTTTATTTATGTTGTTAGGAGAAATTGCTTCATGATCACTTGGAAGGGTTGAGCACTGCCAAGTAAACAGTTTCCCCCCATTAACCCTTTAACTCCCAGAAGTGATTAACATAAAACTTCTCCCTACAATATCCATACATTATTCAGCAAACAGGTAATGAGAATATTCAAACTTATCGGATAGAAGTTGTTATCTTGATCTAGCACCAAGTTCTCATAACTAATTTACAAGGAAATGTGTAGCAGCTAGAGGAGAGAATTAACAATCAGATCTTGGGAGTTAAAGGGTTATTAATGACCAAGGCAGAATTTCTCCTTACAATATCAAACAGGCAAGTGATTAGAATAAGGAAAAATATAAATTAGCAGATTATTAGTTGATCCAATACCAAATTCTCCAATCTAACATCACAAGAATTGTATGGAAGACAGTTAGGAGAATTATTTATGAGATCTTGAGAGCAGAAGGGTTATTAAATGTACCTTACTATTTCTTTCATTGAATGTCTTAGACACATGTGTATGGTTATGCGAGGGGTACAGAAGCCAAGTAGCAAGACTGTGACCAGTTGCATGGTGGGAGTACTGCGAGAGGATCCTCGATCACGTGACGAGTTCTTGACCCTAATTAGAAAAAGCAACATATAACTTGTTATTCATTTGTTGTTGAAGTATGGATTTTATTTAATAACTACCGTATTTCTATAAATAAGCACCCGCGCTTTAATGAACTCCCTCTGCCTGATAAGCACCCATATCCAAGGCCACAATTTCAAACAAACACTCACTAATAAGGGACCCCCCCTTCCTCCCTTACTTACATAATGGTTGGGAAGTAAGGAAAACCTGTTGTTGTTGCCACTTGATTTATATCTTTTAACTGATTAGGCTGCAACTTTAGAATTAGTAAAAGAGTGTAGTTTCTTTTTCTGTGAAAGTCAGTTCAAGTTATTCTTAGCTCTATATGATTGCTGCGTTCCTTTAGGAAGGTAATCTTTTCTTTTAATTTTTTGTCTTTTTGCTGCACTCACTCTGTAAGTGCCCCCACTCAATTAAATGCCCTCCTTCCAAGAAGGGCCCCTTCTTTAAGCCAAAGTTTTATTTAAGTGCTGTGCGCTTGTCTAAGGAAATACAGAATTTTCTTGTTCTCTGTTCTCTAATAATTACTGATCAAATCTTTTGCAAACACTGCCAAATGGGAAAATAATGGACATTCTTATAATTTGTCATAATTGCAGTTTATTGCACCCATATATATGCGAATATTCAAGATAACGCTGCCAGAATATAATATAATTTTTACGTGTTAGAATTGCTTATTTATGTTTGTAATATTTGAGTAAGAATTATGGATGGAATTATTCGAGATAATTTTTTAAAGGAAGACCTATTCAGTATTTAACTTAAGTGGTATACAGTATTCTGAATGGAATTATGCCAGATAATTTTTTAAAGGAAGACCTTTTCAGTATTTAACTTAAGTGGTATACAGTATTCTGAATGGAATTATGCCAGATAATTTTTTAAAGGAAGACGCATTTCGTATTTAACTTAAGTGGTATACAGTATTTATCAAATTTTGAGGAAATCCAAGCTATAGCTGTATGTCTTGGAAAAAAAACAGTGACAATAAGTGGTTTTTGTTTGAATGCACATATTTGTTTAATTGAGCTGTTGGAAAGTGAACTTTGTCAATATTTACCCTTTAGACCTCGTTCTTTTTATGCATTTTTATGGACCTCGACTTCGTCTCGGTTCATTAAAAACGCATAAAAAAAAAAAAAATATCCAGCCATTCTGACCTAACGCTTGGTCATTAACGCATATTTGTTTATTCGCCACCACATGATCTTACATCGCTGAAAGTAAGTCTCTAACCCTGTTTAAAAAGCGTGTCTCTGTTAATACTAGTACCTGAGAGTTCCCGACGATAATTATTCTGGCCAGCTTGAATACATCCATCGTGGTGAAACGACTAAGAAAAATTAAAACTGTTTCTGACGTTAGATATACACCTTTCACATTTACGCATGGTTAATGATGGCTTTTTGCGTTTTTAAACCGCCCACATACCATAATGACACTATCGCCGTTTCTGGCGTATCACCATAGGAACGCCATCAACTTTTAGGCCATGTGTTTTAAGCCTGGCTGAATGAGAAAAATTTTCGACAACTTGCAGCCAGCATTTTCGTTTGTTTTAAAAAAGGTACGATTTCCTAGCTTTCTCAATCGCTGAAACAGCTCTGTGTCGCTCAAGCGTAGATGAACACAAGGAAACGGGCTCTAAAACTAGTGTTAGGAGGTGTTGACGGAGTGCTCTTGAAATTTTGATCATAAGCTATAAATAGAGTAGGAGGAATTAACATTTAACCCTTTGCATTAATATGGATCTATGAAAACTTTTTTTTTTTTTTACTTACCGATCAAATTATATAGATCTATATCTACGCTTTTCGACAAATGAGCTGGGATGGTGGGCCGTGGCAAATTCCGGCGGAATTGTCTCCAATATTTTCCGTTTCTTTACGAGAGTTGCCAAGAGCTCTGAGAAAAAAAGGAAACAAAACAAAAACACGAAACAAAACAGGCACAGTGCAGAAGACAAGGAAAACATCAGCTGAGTTTCCTCATTTTTTAAGGGGGAAACACGTGTTGATATCAGAACTGATAAATGCACGAGGAACAATTACAAGTGGGAAATCGGCAGTTTACATGTCCAGGTCCGATAATGATATGTATGTGTTTTTAAAGATCTTTTAAAGTAACCAAAATTAGAATTGCTGCACAAAGGTCGCTTTCAGTAAATCACCTGCTAGGCAAGATATTCGTTGAAAATGTCTTTTTTTTTCGCGAGTGCTCATTCAAATTGATGCCTAATTGTATTGCGAGAAAAGTTTGCGTGTCCTCCATCTTTAAGTTAATGCAGAATTTATAAATTGCGACACGAATAGCTTAGAAAAGAAAACCTTTTTTTAATTTTGTCTCCGTTTTGAAGGGTTTCCGACCACAGTTTATCTTCCGATGAAAGTCTCGTCTGAAAAATTGATGGAAATTGCTTTCGGGGTTAAAATCATGAGTTTTTAGTTGGATTAATTTCAAAATCAAATAATATTTTTTTAAGATTAATTTTCAAAAAGTTTTGATAAAAAAAAGACACCTGAAAAACATACTTTGATGCAGTTCTCTTTTTGCTCCTATAATACTTTTCGAAATGGTGCTCAAATATGTAACAAGTTTAGTAGAGCTCACGAGGCATTCAGTACAAAGTTATCAGAACAGCGCCAAGTATTGTTGAGTGACGAGTTTAAGTGGGCGAGTTGCTTTGTCACTTTTTTCACAATTGGAGAGAAAAAAAAGAAGTTCGCTAATCCTTAAAACAATACCTTATTCTAAATTTGTCCCCAATTTTGATTAACAATTCTATTAGGGAAAAGCCTTGAACATAAATATTTGGATGACAGTTGAAGCGAGACAAGGGTTCGTTGATCCGTTCAAATGATTACATAAACAACAGCGTCACTATGACGTAAAAGGAACTTTCCAAAACAATCAATTCCCACGTTCTTTTCAAAGAAGTTTTCAGAAGGGTTGATGAAATTGCACGAAAAATTCGCAGCGTGATGACTGATTTTTTGCCGATAATTTTTCTGCTCATTCGCCCTCTATTTGGAGAGATTTTCGCCTTTTAATGGTAAGTTTAAACTACGGATTAGTGTGATAATTCAAAGCAGAGTACGAATGAGATAACCAGAAAATCATTTCTTTGGTTCTCTGGTGTAGGTACGACATTCTGCACGGCAATATGTTTTTCAAAGCAGATAAACATCAGTAAATAAGTGTTGCATTTGTAATCAAGATATTAGATTCAACGCGCCTTAAACAATCTTTGTAAGGCAAAGAAACATTTTGCTTCACTTTGGTAGTCTCTTATACCGCATATATCGTACGTTCGTGATCTTTTCATTCCTGTTTGGATTTCTTTAAGTAATGTTTCCAAAATATCGGACTAACACAAAACCTTCAGGTATGACGTCATCGATGAGTAACGCTATCTCTGCGGTCGCTAGATGAAGTAACAGATGTTCCATGAAAGAGAACGATTCTGTCACTTTGGTCAAGTTAAAATGGTCTCTGTTGCGAACCAATTAGCATTATTTTACACTATACAAGAATAATATTATGACTATATCTTGCCTAAATTCTTTTTGTATCATATTTCGACCATGTGGAACTGAATTTACATGGAAGTTAGTGGTAAAGATAATTTAGTCAGGAAGTGGTTTCTTAGAACGAAAAATCAGAAAATTCAAGAACGTTCTATATCAAATAAAGTGCCGTTTACCAAACCCGTTTGATGACAAGTTGAACAGGATTTATAGCATTAGCCATTCGCTGCGTTAAAACGATCCGAATCAAAACTAATGAAAATGCTATAACGATGTTTTGCCTTTCTACAAACGATGCCAATTTCCCATCAGATTTGAATGTGGGAGCCAAAAGGTCAACGCATTTCCTTTGTGGCGAACTATAAATGTCTACAGGAAGCCGTAAGTTATATTCTTAGAAAAGGAAATGACCGAACCACCATTTACTTGGTAATTTACGGCATTGCGCCTGACAAAAATTTTCCTTTTAAAGTCAAGTTCCTTGACGCCTTTGTCACCGTACCCATATTAACACTTTCATTTTATGTTGCGTGCAGCCCTCGAAATAGTTACTATTACTTATTTTATGTTATTGCTTCACAGAACAAAAATAACTTTTTGGGTTAGCAGACTCTTTTTCCTGCGGCCCAATATATTTGAGTGGTTACCACCCATTTCACACCTAGTAAAACATTTCAAGTTGGTTTATTGTAACTAGCCCTGAAGCAAAATGGAAATTTGTCACATACCACGCGCTGATGCAAACTAAGCAATTTTCTAATGGATTCGCTTTTGGTTTCATTTTAGGGAAAATTTAATCGCACGCGGAGGCGTATGTTTAAATACGTTTGGAAATTTTGGTAGTGACGACATTTAAGGAGCAAAGAGAACTTGAACAGCCCTCTGCTTTGTTACAAGTGAGAATGATTGCATGGACTCCATAAGCTTGACATTCGACCAGTCGAAGGCTTGATTTACGAGAAAACTCCTTAGCATCTTTCCAACCGCCTTTCAACTGATCATGTCTTGTCTGACGTATGTTGATTCACCGCTGTCTGCGCCGTATATAGAAACGGAACTTCAAAAGAGTGCTCGTCTTTGTTATAGAAGAGGATTTTCATCAAAGGTGAGTTTTGTACCCATTACACGACTGCTCTATGAGCCTTCGCAATAAGTTATCCGTACACTCAAAACGGAAGTTTACCTTCATCGTACTGTACTTTCGATGTGTACGTGAACTAAATGTAATTTTCCATAGGTTGGTTCATATATAGTGTCTTGTACATGCTAATGTCATTTAAATCCAAATTTACAACAAAATAACGTTTATAACCTTGATTCGAACTTAAAAATTTCTGCCCGGCTAAAGCAAAGGATACGAAAATTTCAGTTTGGTATTTTTTTTAATTACATCACCTCGTTCCTTTTTGTTTCAACTTTAGCCTTTGTTGTGCGAGTTTACTATTTCAGTTTGACACATGGTTAAGCGAGTTTGACGCTTCAGAGGATAAATTTATTACAATACGTGATGTAATATGCTGGAAGTGATTCATGACGAACTAAGATATCAGTCACAGTGGCCATCCTTCTCGTTTAACTCAATGTTCTAACTCATCTACCAATGTTCGATCTAAGATAACCAGTTAATTGATCAGATATACACACATTCTCACGACGATTAATCTTGAGTTGCAATATACTTTAAACCCAAATTAGACGAACCAATTTATAAAATCTGAAGACTTAACGGCGCCAAATTTATCAGAATCCAATACTTGTGAAATTTAGTTAGAAATCATGGCTTTTCGCCAAGGGTTTGAAGGGCCATCGTCGGAGATTTACGTTTATAGGAACTGAATAACCAGGATGACAGGTTCAAAAACTTTGATCTAAATTTCAATTAAGCTTATATTTGCTTCGGGAATGTCTCGAATGGCTGCAAATGCTGTATGCACGACTAAACCTGGTAACACCATAAGTGACCAACGTGACCAACGTGAAACTTCTCCTCACAATTAAAACACATCGTTCACTAGACAGGTTATAAAAATAGAGTAACGTGTCAGGTGAAGGTTGTTTTTTGATATAAAACTAATTTCTCGTAAGATATTTACGATGAAGCGATATGCAAATAAGAAAGGAGAATTTCGAAGAAGGTTTTCAAGATTTAGAAAAAGCAAATGGAGAGGAAATGGTCATGTCTAGATACAACTTGTTATATAACATTTTGATGATTAAGTCAGTTCTTGTTCTCAGGAACCTGCGTGCAAAATGAAGCAATTCCTTGCCGGAATACGGCCGAGATGTAGACCCATTTTCACACTGAAGTACCACCGAGAGAATATTCTCTTCAGTACTACCCCGCATGTTAGGTTTGAAGCATGGTTCGGTGTACTTATGCAAAAATATAGCCTAAAAGCTATTTCTGAAGTTTTTATTTTGTACTCAGTGTTACCTAACAGCAGTGACCATTTCACGTGTAAAGATGGCGGTGCATCTGTTTTCAAATTGAACTATTTGTAGTTGACAAACATCTCAACAGCTTAAGGCCTTCAGTAACATCCCATTTTTTTCCACATGGTTAACTGAGATCATCATTTATCATGTAAAATGAAAATTTGGGGAGAGTTTTATCTTGTAAATTGACGATATTAGGTTGTTCTGTTTTGTTTTGCGGTAGCCCTCTGAAGAGACAAAATTGTTTTGGCGTTTTTTTTTTTCAGACAAGAGGAGGTAAGCGCCTCGTGAGGAACACGCCACTATAGCCTCGCCTGTTCTTCATGTGTATGTGGATCAGCTTTGAACAATAGTTTTATCTATAGTTGTTACTTCACTCTGTGATTTGTCC